AAATAAATAAATGCTAATGGAATATTTTTATCATGATTATTGCAATTTTTAAAAATAATCATAAATGAATAAAAATTTGTATCATAGTTACTAGTTTTTTATAGTTATTATTCCCATGTTTAACAGAGTTATTATCAAAGTTTGCTACGTAAACAAGTAGCTAATATCTGGGGTCACGAGCACCTGCAACTGTTATTTTGTGGGCCGGAAGCAAAAAAGTTTGAAAACTAATCTAGTGGATAAGTGACACACATACGAACAAGTCTGACGGCTTTCACCTGCAGCTGTTGATAATAATGCTGATCAATAATTTTTAAAGAACTCAATTAGCGTTTATAAATTTAACCCATAAATTTAGCAAGTGCTAATCCACTAATGAATTAAGAAATTAACAAAAGCCCTAAAGCACTAATCAGGAAATTAGTTCCCCTATTAGTGCTTTAGCACTTTAGGGGAACTCTGCCCACCACTGGAAATGTGTAAAATGCCCCATTTTCCTCCATTCCAGTCCTGGCCATATGGAATATCATGCAAATACGAGGTTAAGGGTTTCCTTTGAAGTGCAACACCTTCCATCTCCAAGAGACTATTTCTAGTTAACCTTTGTCAAACTGGCAGATCCCAATGACAAATTTAACCATAAAATGTAAAACGACCAGTGCAGCTGTTCTGAAGCTGCCTCGGCCCTCCTCACCCTAAAGTTAACTACCTGTCAGGGAATTTATTGAGCGTACAACCTTACATGTATGACACCACTTTGCAGCCGTTATTGCCAGTCCTGTTCTCGGACATCAAAGGTGAAAGCACGCTTTGTTTTCGAAGCCCTGCTCCAAATTCTACATCTGTCATAGCTGTCCTTTTTTTTTTCAATATTAAAGGAGAACATAATGTAAATCTGTCTAGTGTCTCATTTGCACAAGAGACAGAAGACAGGGTGATGAAATGGAAGCGGGTGGCCAGTTGTAGGTATGATGAAAAGTGTGTAGATCAAACAATGAAACAAGCAGGCTATGACTGAACAGGATGGAGATGTCAAGTTTGTGGAGCCTTACTTGGATCCAGAGGTCACTGTTTGACGATGAAGATATTTCACTTTTACATTTGCTTTACTTTTAACCTAACATTTTTGATTAGAACTTATATTAATTTATTAATCGATATATATATTTGAATTTACACACCAAAGCATTCAAGCTAAGTGTTTTTTCATGCAGGTATTGAAGCATTTGTACATTATCTCAATTGTGTCTGACAAAGATTACTTGAGTTTTGTGAAAAAGTAATCAAGGAGGAAAAGTCTGAATCATACAGAAAGCCTCTGTCTTTTATGGCAGTTAAGAAGTTTCTGTAAAGCCTTGAAGTTTCTTCAGGCTCACCCTCTTTCAGTTAGCTATTTTTCCACAAAGATGCACCCAGAAGGTGTTGAACCTCTCTGAAGTGCTACTTCACTTTGATCAGGTTGATTCCAGCTCCAGAGCAACAAAACAACCCTAGATTCAACCTTTTATTTATTTATTTTTTCTTCATCATCTTCTCATTTTAGGATAAGAAACAGCAGTATAATTCTTCCAACTGTTTCTCTCTACAYATACAAAAACACTTCACACAGAATTTCAGCAGTTTCTCCAGTTAGAACCTTGTCATCTATATTTTGCAAACCCTAGCACACTAGTATTGGCACCAGAAGAACATGGAACACACGTCCACAAACAAAAGGGATGCAAATATTCAACAGAGAGGAAAGAAAACTGCAATTAGTTGCTGACGTCACCCAGAGAAGTCATTTGCAGAGGTCAGTGGAGAGAGCAGTGACCTCATCGCAGCACAGAGTCATCAGAGACTAAAGGTCGAGTTTTATCTGAGAACCTATATCTGGATCTGCTCCGACACCTCTGACCACCTCATAATGAATCTGGTACCTGCCTGACTGGTGATAAAAACTGTGACACACCTTTGCCCTCTTCTCATTAGCTATGGCAACAGTTTGTCTTCTAGACACACAGCACTGACCTAACCCTGGTTTGTTTAATCCTTAATGTTGTTTCATTACATCAACATTCTTTTTCTGTTGGACAACTCTCCAACCCTGATATGTAGCAGATATTTCACAAAATGAAACTTTTGTCGCTGCGTTTACACCACATCCACATACAAACAACCCTTTTGGTGGGATAACTAAGTATTTAAAATATTCTTCAAAGTGGATATTTTTAAAGGGGAAATTTCATGTAAAATCAACTTTTTTTTAAGTTTTATATCATGTTACAATGTTATACTCTCATAAAAAACATGCCCAAAGCCTTGCATTCATGCGTGTTTGAGAAATTCTGCAGCATTTTTAGGCAGCGATGCTGAGGAGCAAAACAGGTGGGGACCAGAAACGCTCCTGGGACGTGTCTTTAAGCCAAACTTCCTCATGGCGGAGCACACCCCCCCTCCCCCTTCCGCCCGGCACACCCCACCCATGACTCCTGCAGGCACCTGGGTGAAAGTGAAACTTAAACTGTCTGCTGAGCTCCACTACTCACTCAGTGAAGCTCTTTTCAGATTAAAAATACCTTTGAGGAAATGTATTTTCAGATGCCAAGTAAATTGCATCATGGCAGCCCAACCCCCCCCCCCGCGAGCGCAACCCCCGGAAGCAGAAGGTGGTTCTTAAAGAGACAGAGGCCAATTTCAAGGCGCTTAGCAGAGGAAGTGATGAGAAGATAAGTTTATTTTCTATTTAAACATAAAAACAGCATTTTGATAACAGCTAAAGGTGACATTGATACTTTATTATGGTATAGTATTTAAATAAATGCCTGAGAAACACATAATATTGCCCCTTTAATATTCCATTTTCAGTGTATCCTTGTTTTTGCTAGTTTGTTTCGTCTGATTTATTTTTCATCCTGTTGCCATTAAATTACATCCTTGCAAACAGTTCTTAAGCAGACTGCTGATCGACTACCTTTTTGTGTCATAACATAAAAAATACTCTCGATTTTATATATTTTTTACTTGTTTTAACTAACAAGGAAAACTATTTCCCAAACTAAATAAGTAAGAATAAGACTGGTTAAATAACTTTGTTTCTCCGATAGTTCCACCATTGATGCCTCTTTTACTCAGGCATAACAAAATCAGACTCAAAGTATATTAGGTATTTTTGTAAGAAATTATAAGAAAGTTTGGGTTTCTGCAAATCTTGCAAAAATACCAACTGCACTGAAGAAATAATTTTCCTGGAAATGGGTCTTACAGGAGGATAAATTAGGCACTCTTGCAGATTCTCACAGTGTCGACGGTTTTTGCTGTTTTCCATGGAGTTTAATTGGAGCGTATCTAATGCTGTAAATCATCTCCAAGACCAAGGAGGTTGTGATGCATACCATCACTGCACTTTTCATTTATTTGCTCAGCATTTCTATGTCATCCTTCTTCTTCTTTTTTCCACCATCTCCCCCTCTCTGTTGAAGAGATGAACCAGTGCTAGAAGCTAATTTGAAGCCAATCAATATTAGTCTGTTTCTTCCTGTGTGTCAGGCCGGTCCGGTGCCCTTGTCTAACTGCAGGCAGGGGAGAGGAAGCATGCGTTGGGAGAAGTACCGCACGTTGACTGTAAATCTATGGCAGCCACTAAACACCGCTCTTGGAAAGGCGGCACTGAGTGYGAAAGGCTATCAGGCTGAATCCAAATGAGATTGATTTCCATGCCAAATCCATTTGTTCAACGTGTGCACTGACAAATAGCCCTCTCGCTGACTTGATGAACTGCAGGGATGGCATTTTAGCTGCTGCTCGGGCTTCCACACTTGGAAATGATTTTTAGAAAATGTGCACACTGGTAACAAACACTGCTTAACTTCACTTACACACCACCGCCGCTCAGTCCTTCCAAGTTAAACCCCGGTCCACTCCCGTCCCATTCTCCCTTGAACAGCCAATGAGGATGCTGTCTATTCATGAGCTGAAGTGGAAGCGGGCATGTGTAGGCAGCCTGCCACAGGAGGAGGTGTGTCTCTGCGAGCCAAGAGTGTGTGTACGAGCGAGAGCGTGCTCACACTGACAGAGRAGGTGGAGGAGTGAAGAGTAGGCATGCAAGTGAGAGTCAGGAGGAGTGACGGGAGAGACGGGAAGGGACGCCAGGTGCACGGCTGACTTATACACCCCATCATAAACACACATATTACAGAACATATAGTGAAGCATGTGTGCGTGAGTGTGTGTGTGTGTGTGTGTGTGTGTGCCTCGCTCAGAGAAACAGAGCGGGATCTCTGAGGATACACGGATGAGAAAGAAGAGTGGGGGAGCCAAGGAAGAGGAGCCCGAGTGGTGCATCGCCCCGGGGGGAGCTCACACACACCGCAGACAGCGCACACACTCCAGCGGGCATTCGGCGCTGTTTCCCTGACAACTAGAATGGGCTGCAATTTGTGCACCTTGCAGAAACGGGAGGAACATTACAAACTGCTCTATGAGATCGCACAGGTAAGTGAGACTCGGGAGGAGGAAGGAGGAGAAGTCATGATGATGTAAATCAGGGCAAGAATGGTTGGAAATGAGCTGGATTTCCTTCCGGTGAGCAGGCAGCATCCTTAATCTGAACTAAATTGAGCAAAGTGTCAAAAAATGTGGAGAAAAATATGGTTTCAGAAAGAAACTTGGAGAAAAATTGCAGGAATATTTTTTTTAAAAAAAAGAGCAGCCAGGCAGAATGCCATGTCTGTGAGAGAACTCCCGTCTCCATCAAAGTGAATGGAGCTCGTTACTTCTCAGTCGCAGAAGATGTGAGAACAAGTTCAGCTCTTCTTCCTGCGCTGGCTCCAGGGGAAATCATCCCATCTTCCTCTGCCTGTGACTTTCTCCAAGCAATACGGTTCAAAAAGAGAAGCAGTAAATGCTTTCTGCTGCTTTTTTTACTCTGTAAGCCGTTTGTCAGGAGGGAACTTACTGACCTTTGTCTATCACTCAGCAACTGGATTTATTTATGTCCTTTAAGAAAAGTTTGACCTTTTGTTGAAAGTTCCTCAGTCTGGAGATGGAAATAAAACATAAAAATAACAATAAGAACTATTGAAGTCCTTTTAGGAGCTGGGAAATGTGGTAAACGACTGATAACACTATTCTTTGTGTTCTGTAAATCAAAGGCGTTTTGACACATTTCAAACATTCAGTTCAAGTACAACACTGACTGGGATGTAATTTGGTGTTTTTCTTACAAGAAATGTCTTTTTCTTAAGCTGACTGTAGAGAAAAACAACACGTGCACTTCTCTGTTGTTGAGTAGAGTAGACAAGCCAGCGTTCATTCATCATTTAGTGTCTTCCACTGTTACAGACAGCAAGGAAACTTGATACGGCACAGTCAGGCTGAGCATTAGGCTACTTAGTTTAGTAGTGATTATGCTTTATTTAGACACTATTATCCATAGGATCAAATTAAATTTTGTGCCGATGCTTCCCCATTGTAAAAAAAAACAGGGCAACCAGCATGTTTTAATTATGTTAAGTTCATTGTGACAGAGCAGCTATTGTGTTATTGGATTACAAAAATGAAAAAAAAAAAGTTATCTTCCATCGTAGCAGGATGCTGCTTTTATGAGGCTCTTTCACAGGGCTGTAATCTCAGTACCCTGTGCAATAATGAGATGTTTGATATTTGTGTTATCAGCCTTAACTGTGTCAATTAAAGGCAACTCTAGGAGGTCGTGGCTGCTTTTGTGTTGCCGAAGTCGGGCGGATTTGTTTGCAAAGACAAAAGCAAAGCCGCCTGGCGTGACCAACTGAGAAATCGTACACTAATTAGCCATCAAAAGATAACTAAAAAAAGTACAAAATCAAAATTCAGTAAAGCCGTTTTAAGTCCTGATAATAACAAATTTCATAAAGACGGGATTTTACACTAAACTTGTCCAAAGAAAGAAAGAAACTTTCAAAATAAGAATAACGTAATGTTCATTTGGGTCATGCGATGTTTTTGCAAGATAGGTCACCATTGTTATTACTGGCCACTAATGTTCTGCAAACTTATTTTTTTTAGCTTATGTAGAAAAAAGAGCAAAGAGAGTTAAAAAAACGAGCCTCTGGCAGTGTTTTTATGACACAAAGTAGCAGCAGATGCAACAACAAACCTTGTTTTTGCATTGAGATTGGCTGGAACAAACCCAAAAATGACCATCGTGGTTACCTGTTATGTCTACATTCCTCGGCAGGTATCTTGGCAACATGGCAAATGTCCAAAAATATCCCAGGCAAAAAAAAAGTGAGAACCCACTTGCTGTTAAATGTTCTGTGGTGGTTTTATGACAGTTAGTGGACACCTCCAGTTCTCGTTTCCAGTGTTTAAAAAAAAGGACGAGAAAAAGGGCTCATCAGGCAGCAAGTGTGTCAGTGTGACTTTGTCCTGAAACTAGAGGCTAAGGGGATTCTGCAAATCCAGGGAGACTCCCTCAACAATCGCTCGTTTCGTCTCCTTTCCTCTTTCCTACATCCCTCTCTGTAACCTTCATTAGTTCTGCTCTCCTTCTGCCCGTCTCYCTCTCAGCAATCTGTTTCTGCCTCCTCTCATTTTGACTTTGGCACAGAGACAAAATGAAATGTGTTTGGCTTATTTTACTTCCATCAGCAACATACAGCAGGGCACTCCATGCTCATTATGCTCATTGTAGCTGTGAAAAACCAAAGGATGCTGGTAATGTAGCTGAAACCTGGCTGGAACAGGTGCAAAGCCAGCCAAGTCTAGTGACATATTAACACTTGTCTAGATGCTCAGGTGCTGTGTCTATTACCTCTTTGTGTCATGGTCACAGGCTTTTAGCACCATGAGTTCTTGTTAGAAAAGACTCCTGACAGTGTGGTGTTGTTGGCATTCATTCTTTTGTTGTGGATTTTTAGATACGCCACTTGGTCACCTGAGGCAAAAAGGGATTTTTTTATTTTAAAGTGAAATTTTAAGTTTTTAGGCTTACACTAGCCTTGTAAAAACCAGACCCTTGTCCTTCACTTTGCTTCGTACAGAGGGTCTGGACTCGCTGCTATAGAGAAGCGATTCTTGCTGGAGGTGTGGCCTCTGCTGAAGTGTGTGTGTTGCTGTGAAGGAGGCTAAGCTAAGAAGCTAACCGGAAATCGCGAGCGCTGTAAACAGCCCTACTGAGAGGAGAAAAGTACCGAGCTGAACAAGACGACTGTAAATGAGAGCTGCTGCTTTGTCAAATTTAATTTAATTTGGAAGCCTTATCAACATGGACTGGCTTCATTCACTTCCTCCACTGTCATTGCTAACTAACTAGCAGACACTGCGCAGAAAATCGACGTCATTCAAAACCCCGCCTTCAGTTTGTTGATTGGCCCATGTAAAATAAACTACAAGCTGACACTGCGCAGAAAATCAATGTTCTGTTCTCTGATTGGTTCAGCAAAAAATCTGCCCGCGAAATCTTTGTCTATGGGAGAAATGCCAGACGGAGCAGAGAAGCGAAACTAGAATTGAGCGGAACTGCGTAGGAAGGCAAGGGCCAGGCTAGGCTTACACCTAAGACTACCACAGCTTTCAGCATCCTAAAAGGTTTCAGAGTCAAAATACTTTGAAACAAAATGTTTGCGTGTTTGTGTGGATTGCCAAAATGCAACCTTTTTTTTTTTAAAAGATCATGATGGTTCCTTATCTGAGCTATAAGCAGTTTTTAGTAATATATATTTAT